AGCCCTTACAAGGTACTATCAGCCGGGCCAGCTGAGCCCAGGTTTTTTTAGTGAGCTTGTTACTGCTCCCCCTCCTCCTTTTTCATCCTGGCTTGGGACCGGCAAAGGCGGAGTTTTTTTCTTTCAGGTGAGAAACTTTAGGCATTGGTGAAAAGTGTAAATATATATTCTGGAAATGAAAAAAAAGGATAAAATAAATCAGAATATAAATTTACAAACTATATTTCAGAGGAGACGATTTATAATAGGAATTCATTTAAATGACCTCATTAAAAACTACATTTTATATATACTTGGGTTCAACTTTACATGTATGCTATCCAAAGTTCGCACACTTGAAAAAGTCACATAAAGTCGTCTGTGCGTAAACACAGGCTCTTGTAGCAAAGGTTTGGCCTTGAGCCCTCTTTATAGTCATATATTTCAGACATTATACAGTGTGTTCAACTTTGGGTACTGTCAGTATATGTGCTTCAAGGACATGAGAGCACATGCGCTAGAACACCATACCTGTTCCATCGCAAAGATCCTATAGGCATTGGTGAAAGTGTAAATAAATATTTTGGAAATGAAAAAAAATTGCAGATATGACAACATATTAAAGGAATAAATTCATTTAAAAGACCTCATTAAAAACAACAATTCTATATTTTTATATATACAATATAATCTAATTAATTCAACACACGATAATTCGACCATTTTTGGATGTCTCGACCTACGGCCTATCATATGACAAACTAATTCGACACTTTCGATAATTCAACTATTTTGGAAAATCAAATTTCAACAGTTGATATTTGTCTAAAACCCCTATTATTAACAACATATTAGACTGCAGAGTGCAAAAATGTAGAAAAGTGTATGTATATAATTGTATGCATATATTTGTATGTAAATAATTGTATGTATAGATCAATGAGTAAAATATATATATTTTTTTGCTTATCCCTAGTACACGTGGTACAGGCCTTGATAATCATGGTGGGTAGAGTAGGCGACTGCTTTAACAGTAAGTACACCACATGTCTAAACATGTGAAAAGCAGTTCGACTTTGCATTTACAAATGTGCCAGAGCCCCGTTTGATTACTTGCGCTTGCTGGTGGGGTTGGACTTTTGCAAGAATCGGAAGCCATTGGAGCATTTTTTTTTTTTTCAGAAAAAAGTGCCCAATGCGGGAATCGAACCCGGGTCGTAGCGGTCGAAAACCAACGGCTTAGACCATCCTTCCACCAACCCCCAGTAAAATAAGTAAGTAAAAAGAAGACCAAAAATAAGTGATAATAGTTTATTGAATAACAAATAAAATAAAAAATCTTTTCAGGTGAAAAATTATAGACATTGGTGAAAAAGTAAACTGGAGAAATAGCAATCGTGGTTTTGTTCCTGCGGCGAGTCATATTAGCCCGCCTAGCAGTTAGGGGAGTGAGTCTTCCACGGCCTTTTCGAGGCATGACAGAAGACGCTGAAAAAAAAATGGTAAAATAAGAACCAAGCAGAGGAAAACTATAAAACTGAAAGCCAGGACAGGCATAAAAAGAAAATTCCAAGCATGTGAGGAAACAATTGATGAAAAAAAAAAAAGGATTCCAAAAAAATACTGCAAAAAAGAAACCAGACACAAAAAGCAACAATTGAGTACACAAATACAACATCAGCCTATTTATGAGAAGAAAAAAAAAACGACAGACACAAAAATGGAGCTAAATTTAAATGAAAAACTATAACAGATCAAGTAATCAAATCAGGCATTATGAAAGATACTGTAAAAAAGAAAATCAGACAAAAGAATAAATGAGATTTTATTCTTTAGTTCATTTATTAAATAAGACACAAAAATGGAGCTAAATTCAAATGAAAAACTATAACAAATTAATTTAAAAAAATAAGACCTAATCCAAATGTCACCATCATCAGACAAAAGAAAAAATGAGATTTTATTCTTTAGTTCATTTATTCTTTTGTTTGATGCTGTTGCTGAAACGTCACACACTATTAAATTATTTGGATTAGGTCTAATTAATGAGAAAAAAAAGATGCCAAAGAGAGATGAAAAGATGCCAAAAAAGATAACCAGATACAAAAATTGTGCTAAATTCAAATGAAAAACTATAACAAACACTTATAAAAGATAATTATTATAGAATAAAAGTAATAATTCAATCTACAATTCGAAAAATAATATAACTTCAGCCTATTTATGAGAAAAAAAAAACGTTGCCAAAGACATTAGGAAAGATACTGCAAATAGAAAACATACACAAAAATTGAGCTCTATTTAAATGAAAAACTATAACAAAGTACTTACAAATTATAATCATAATCAAATGAATCAGAAATATATATTATAAATAGCGAACCCGGCCACGCGTTGCTGTGGCTAAATTGTAATATGTTAAATTAACATTATACTAAACTATTCAGTACAGTAAAGTTAATATTCACTTATAAAGATAAAAATGTTTTAGCCGATCTAAAGCCCTACGGGATTGAGAATGGAACGTTACGTTAAAATTTGAAAGAGATTTTTTATATATATCGATAATATAGCCCTTCATTGTAATCATTGATTATAATCACTGCATTAATAAATGTCAGTGAACTCGTTTATATGTATTGTTTTTTGTTTTCGAGATATTCTAATAGAACGTTCTAACATTTTCTGTTAAATATTAATATATGCACAAACACAGAATATAATAACTATGTCTTAATATCGCTATAATTATTGTTATAAATATTATTCTAAAATAATTCGCCAGAAATCGTCCTGATAGTATACTAAACAACTTCCCAAAGTTTCATGGCAAACATCTAAAATAAAATAATACTTTTAATACTTTGCTACAATATTAAAAAGAGGGGGGCTTAGGTGTTTAACATGTAAAATGTGCTCTAAATAGTATTACATAGAGCCTTCATAACAAACATATTTAAAATAAACCAATCAAAATATAATAATGCTGTAAAAACAGACCTTTCTACAATAATATAAAAGAAACGAAAATAAAAAAAGACACCCACGCTGAACCTCGAACCTAGGTTTGTTACAAATATTATAAAAAAAATTGTGTATGTTAATTTTTATTTTAAAAAGCCTACATTTTAAATAAAATAATATTTTTAATAATTTGCTACAATAATATAAAAGAAATGAAAAAAAAAAACACCCACGCTGAGCCTCGAACCTAGGTTGCGGGGGTACGAAGCTGCGTACCTAACGTATAGGCTAAGCTTGACGTTACAAATAAGATCATGCGAGGCTATTTAAGGCCATACGTCTGCCGCGAGGGGGCGCTGATTGCGAGTGAATCTACGTTTTATCGTAAATAAAAATGCAACGAAAGGTTATTTCTAAAGAGTAATTAGCCAGAAACCATCCCGGTAGTATACTAAACATCTTCCCAAAGTTTCATCACGATTGGTTGTAGTAATAAGACAAAAGAACGCATTTCAAAACAAAAAAATTGATGATGATAAATGCAAAAAATCTACGATTGTAAAATAGATTAAATTAAAAAATAAAAATAACTGTTAACATTAGGAAAATAAAAACAGGCCTATCATATGAAGAAAAAAATAACGAAAATTTTGGTATATAGATCGTTAAGTGTAGTTCAGAATCTTCGGAGGAGATAGCTCAGGACTTTACAATGGAAAACTCTGTTACGGTATTATCTATATAGATATGTTAACACAAAGCAATAGTGCGCCATCTATACATATAAAATGAAAGGATTTAAAATCATGAATGTTTCTTTTATACATAGTACAAACTTCTACTGCCCTTACTGCGATGAAAAATATATTGGGAGGGCTTGGCTCATCAGCCTTGTCTTTATTGTTTGCGGAAGAGCATTGCTCGATGCAAATATTTGAATGTAATTCTACTGTCCTATAAGCTTATGTCCATAGTTTTCTTGAAAACCATTTCTGAGATTCCATCCTTCAGTGCTGCGTATATAAGCAGAATCGTCCAATACAGTATTAGAGCTCTGAGAAGCGGTCTGGTGGATTAAATTGGAGAAACCGCTGGGAAGGTTCACCACTGATAAGCCAAGCCCTCCCATTATATTTTTTCATCGCAGTAAGGGCAGTAGAAGTTTGTACTATGTATAAAAGAAACATTCGTGCTTTTAAATCCTTTCATTATATATATATATATTTTTTTTTTTTTTTTGAAAATAGAGCAATCCATACTTAATTTATTAGATAATAAAAGGCATATATTGGATTTAATAAAATATTTATTTTGCCAATATTTCGGCTGGCTGAACGCCAACCTTTATCAAGGCATTACATTTTTGTATACACAAACTCTGCGCCGCATAGTGTTATAATATCACAGTTGAAATCAATTAAAATACAGAGTAGGTGGGAGAAATTTGTGCATGAAACAAGTTATTTGCAAATTGCGTGGCAAATTTGACCTTTCGCTCGCAAGCAGCGCCTCTAGCGGTGAAGATGGGAGGTAATATCAGCTGACCTAATGGAAATGTAAAACGTGTTTTAACAGGACATAGAGAAAAATCTGGAAAAAATATTTTTCGGATTTTTAGTCAAGAAAAATAAATTGACAGGTTCTGGGAAAAAAGTAGTTGTTTTTTATTCAGAAAATGATGATGACAATATTGCTGTATCATATTTGATTATCAAATACAAAATTATATCCGGAAAAATTCCAAAAAGCAGAGACCAGGGGTGAAGCCAGTTCATTTTTAGTATGCAGGAACAAAATTCTAACAGAAAAACATTCATTCGAGCAGAAGACACAAAGCCAGATCATCTCTTTATAAAAATATCGCTTCTCAGACACAAAGTTTGGAGCGGGACGTTTCACAAGAATGACATCCACGGCGCCATTTTATAATTGTAACGAATAGTATTTGAATAAAAGCATTTAATCGGGTAAAACCCGGGCATTGCCCTTTCTTAATCAATTCTGTCACCGTTTGCTTTTGTGATGGAATAAATACCCAAATATGGCCATTTATCATAACAATCAGTGGTTCAGTGGTAGAATGCTCGCCTGCCTAGCTGGCGGCCCGGGTTCGATTCCCGGCTGATGCTTTTTTTTTTTTTTTTACAATTTTTAAAACTCATTTATATATTATACACGAATGACATCCACGGCGCCAATTTATAATTGTAACGAATAGTATTTGAATAAAATCATTTAATCGGGTAAACCCCGGGCGTTGCCCGGGTCATTCGGCTTGTATATATATATTATTAGAATTAAATATAATTTATATGAGAAAGATAGTTGTATATATATATATATATAAATTAATGATGATTAAAACAAATTATAAAATAATATTATTTGGGTATCAAAAAGGTTTTAATTATTTATGCAACAATTTAGGGTTATAACAAGTTCACGCTTTTACCTCGGCCGTTACGCGTCATTTAAGCAGAACATAGAAAAAAAAAGGAAGAATTGAAGATATTAGGGTTGGAAAAAGAGCAAAGACAGAACCATGTAAACTTTTTATCAAACAATTTAAATTTATAACAAAGAAAATTTTTAAATATCTTTTGAAGTAATATTTTGTGTAATTTTATATTTATATACATATATTATTAAAAGTGTTTTCCACACAAAAAAATATAAAATTACACAAAATATTATTTTAAAAAAATATTTAAAAAATTTCTTTCTTAATAAATTTAAATTGTTTGATAAAAAGATTACATGGTTCTGTCTTTGCTCTTTTTCCTACCCTAATATCTTCAATTCTTCCTTTTTTTTCTATGTTCTGCTTAAATGACGCGTCACGGCCGAGGTAAAAGCGGGAACTTGTTATAACCCTATATTGTTACATAAATAATTAAAACCTTTTTGATACCCAAATAATATTTTATAATTTGTTTTAATCATCATTAATTTACAACTATCTTTCTTATAAATTATATTTAATTCTACCTATTCGTTCAGTAATAGCTTGCTATACTGACATTATACTCTCAATTCGACATTATACTTTCAAATCAACATTGAAATTTTCTATAACTTTCCTTGAAAAAAAAATAATATAAAACCTTATATATATATATATATATATATATAACTAGACGAATGGCCCGGGCAACGCCCGGGTTTTCCCCGAGGGCGTATATATTTTAAAAATGTTTTAATTAAAATACTATTCGTTACAATTATAAATTGGCGCCGTGGATGTCTCTCTTGTGAAACGTCCCGCCCCAAACTGTGTGTGTCTTGAAAATATAAAAATAAAAATGTGAACGGAAAAATATGTCCAGGGTAGCCTAGTGGTCATGGCATCTGCCCGGTAAGCGGAAGGTCGTGGGTTCGATTCCCATCCCTTGACACTTTTTTTATTTTATCCATTCTGACTAAAATCTATCCGTGAACTTCACACAGTGAACTTCACACAGAGAGAATAAGGCAATTATATAAGTAGATAATCCAAATTGTGCCTTATCACACACTATTTTTTATTTGGCCTTATTACCTTGTGTTTATAATCTATATGACGTAATGCGGGCGGCGCGCGCCCGTTGGCTGCCGGCGAGCACGTGACCTCCCTGTGCGCGCGCATCCGTGACAAAACCGGCCGCCGGCCCATGACGGTCGTGACTATATATGTTGATTATTTATGAAATTTAATTAAAATATTTTAAAACATATTTTTCAGCAAATACCCACTTTTTTCTGATTTTGCGCAAACTAAACCTTTCTAATAACATCAGAAAACCTTAATTTGGTCTCTTTACCATTTATAAACACCTTCGCACTGGACCCCAAATATTTCATTGAACGACTTAATAATCTCTATAAATTCTAAAGTCTAAGAATAGGAAAATTTGAAAGTTTGGTACAAGTGTGAATTAAATTTTATTCAAATATTTATATAATATTTAAATAAAATTTAATTGTCCTGTATATCAAACTTTTAAATTTGGTATTAAAACCTAATTTTAAATAAATATTTTTCGAAACAGATTGACTAGCAGATTAATTATATTAATTATTTTTCATCATGTGGGTGTCTCTATTTTAAATATAAGAAATATTTTAATATATATATTTAAATTTATATATATAAATATATATTTATAGAGTGTTGGCGGAGCCCTGTCAATTCCTTTGGAGAAGCACTTAGATAAGGTAACACCACTATATAAAATGTCTCGCGGTACTGTTTTAAGGGTTGTTTCTTGTATTAAAAAAAAGCCATGGCATGAAAATTATGTCATTGGTCCTCATGTTTTAGACCTTCATGGTTTAACAGTATCACAGTCGAAAAGGGCCGTTGATGGGTTCCTTAAGGCTGAAAAAAATTGGATGAGTGAGAATTTCACAAAATTCCAATGGGTTACAATTATTACTGGGCAGTCCCGAGGGCGTATCCCTCGTTTGAAGATTGCTACAGAAGGGTACTTGAAAATGCTTGGTCTCAAGTATTATTTCGAGAATCCTGGTGCCATATGTGTTAGGTTAAGGAAAAGATTCTAGATTAGACTAGATTCTGTAGTGACCTTTAAAATTATGGGTTTAACAACTAGACTGAAATGGTTAAATACCATTTCTGTAAATGGCAAATATACCATTCCATTTTGATATTGTGACAATGTTCAATATATTTATTGTATTGAGCAGCTAGACCTCTGTAGGGAGAGTTAAAATTATCGGTTTAACAACTAGACTGAAATGGAGAAATACCATTTCTGTAAATGGCAAATATACCATTCCATTTTGATATTGTGACAATGTTCAATATATTTATTGTATTGAGCAGCTAGACCTCTGTAGGGAGAGTTAAAATTATCGGTTTAACAACTAGACTGAAATGGAGAAATACCATTTCTGTAAATGGCAAATACACCATTCCATTTATATTTAGACAATGTTCAATATATTTATTGTATTGAGCAGCTAGACCTCTGTAGGGAGAGTTAAAATTATCGGTTTAACAACTAGACTGAAATGGAGAAATACCATTTCTGTAAATGGCAAATATACCATTCCATTTATATTGTGACAATGTTCAATATATTTATTGTATTGAGCAGCTAGACCTCTGTAAGGAGAGTTAAAATTATCGGTTTAACAACTAGACTGAAATGGTTAAATACCATTTCTGTAAATGGCAAATATGCCATTCCATTTATATTGTGACAATGTTCAATATATTTATTGTATTGAGCAGCTAGACCTCTGTAAGGAGAGTTAAAATTATCGGTTTAACAACTAGACTGAAATGGAGAAATACCATTTCTGTAAATGGCAAATATACCATTCCATTTTGATATTGTGACAATGTTCAATATATTTATTGTATTGAGCAGCTAGACCTCTGTAAGGAGAGTTAAAATTATCGGTTTAACAACTAGACTGAAATGGAGAAATACCATTTCTGTAAATGGCAAATATGCCATTCCATTTTGATATTGTGACAATGTTCAATATATTTATTGTATTGAGCAGCTAGACCTCTGTAGGGAGAGTTAAAATTATCGGTTTAACAACTAGACTGAAATGGAGAAATACCATTTCTGTAAATGGCAAATACACCATTCCATTTATATTTAGACAATGTTCAATATATTTATTGTATTGAGCAGCTAGACCTCTGTAGGGAGAGTTAAAATTATGGGTTTAACAACTAGACTGAAATGGAGAAATACCATTTCTGTAAATGGCAAATACACCATTCCATTTATATTTAGACAATGTTCAATATATTTATTGTATTGAGCAGCTAGACCTCTGTAGGGAGAGTTAAAATTATGGGTTTAACAACTAGACTGAAATGGAGAAATACCATTTCTGTAAATGGTAAATACACCATTCCATTTATATTTAGACAATGTTCAATATATTTATTGTATTGAGCAGCTAGACCTCTGTAGGGAGAGTTAAAATTATGGGTTTAACAACTAGACTGAAATGGAGAAATACCATTTCTATAAAATACATATATTGATGTCCTCTATGTCTCTCATATATATATTAATTAAATGCCATATTTTGGATCAAAAAAATAAAAATATCAAAAATAATCCCGCGTTAACCTTTGTTTTTAATATGTGAATGACCTTCATATATTATTCATTGTTTCAATTATCATAAACTAAATTGCTTTTGTTGAGCGGTACCTAATAAAGCGATTTTGAAACTGGATTTAAATAAAAATAAAAACATAGTCGGTGGATGAGTGGGTAACACCCTCGATTCCCGACAGTCATGAACCAGGATTTAATCAGGCGTTAACATTTGTTTAATATGTGAATGAACTTCATATATTATTCATTGTTTCAATTATCATAAACTAGATTTCTCTTGTTGAGCGGCACCTAATAAAGTGATTTTGAAACTGGATTTAAATAAAAATAAAAACATAGTCGGTGGATGAGTGGGTAACACCCTCGATTCCCGACAGTCATGAACCAGGATTTCATCAGGCGTTAACATTTGTTTAATATGTGAATGACCTTCATATATTATTCATTGTTTCAATTATCATAAACTAAATTGCTTTTGTTGAGCGGTACCTAATAAAGCGATTTTGGAACTGGATTTAAATAAAAATAAAAACATAGTCGGTGGACGAGTGGGTAACACCCTCGATTCCCGACAGTCATGAACCAGGATTTAATCAGGCGTTAACATTTGTTTAATATGTGAATGACCTTCATATATTATTCATTGTTTCAATTATCATAAACTAAATTGCTTTTGTTGAGCGGTACCTAATAAAGCGATTTTGGAACTGGATTTATATAAAAATAAAAACATAGTCGGTGGACGAGTGGGTAACACCCTCGATTCCCGACAGTCATGAACCGGGATTTAATCAGGCGTTAACATTTGTTTAATATGTGAATGGCCTTCATATATTATTCATTGTTTCAATTATCATAAACTAAATTGCTTTTGTTGAGCGGTACCTAATAAAGCGATTTTGGAACTGGATTTAAATAAAAATAAAAACATAGTCGGTGGACGAGTGGGTAACACCCTCGATTCCCGACAGTCAGGAACCGGGATTTAATCAGGCGTTAACATTTGTTTAATATGTGAATGGCCTTCATATATTATT